AGAAGGAGGAAGGATGAGGAGAGAGGGAAGGGAAGAAGGAAAGGAAAGGAAAGGAAAGGAAAGGAAAGGAAAGGAAAGGAAAGGAAACGAGAAAGGAAAGAAAAGGAAAGGAAGAAAGGGAAAATTAATTACAGGCTAATCTGATGAACACAGATGCAAAAATCCTCAAGAAATTCAACAATACATTAAAAGGATCATAAACCACAATAGAGTGAGATCTATTCTAGGGATGCAAAGATGATTCAACATCCATAAATCAACCAATACAATACACCACATTAACAAAGTGATAGGATTATCTCAGTAGATACAGAAAAAGCATTTGACAAAATTCAACATCCATTTGTGATAAAAATTCTCAAAATGTGAATAGAAGGAATGTACCTCAACATAACAAAGACCATATATGACACACCTACAGTTAACATTATACTCAATGGTGAAAAGGCTGAAAGCTTTTCCTCTAAGGTCAGGAAAAAGACAAAGATGCCCACTCTCCCCACTTTTATTCAACATAGTACTGGAAATCCTAGACAAAGCAATTAGACAAGAAAAAGAAAGAAGACATCCAACTTGGAAAGGAAGAAGTAAAACTATCATGGTTTGTGGATAATATGGTTATATATATACAAAACCCTAAGTACTCCACCAAAAAAAAAAAAACTGTTAAAATAAACAAATCCAGTAAAGTTGTCAGGTACGAAATCAATGTACAAGAATCAGTTGCCTTTCTATACATTAACTATTATTGGAGAAATTAAGAAGATGACCCTACTTACATGCGCATCAAAAAGAAAATATCGGGGCACCTGGGTGGCTCAGCGGGTTAAGCCGTTGCCTTCGGCTTGGGTCATGATCTCAGGGTCCTGGGATCGAGCCCCGCATCGGGCTCTCTGCTCAGCAGGGAGCCTGCTTCCTCCTCTCTCTCTGCCTGCCTCTCTGCCTGCTTGTGGTCTCTCTGTCAAATAAATAAATAAAATCTTTAAAAAAAAAAAAGAAAAAAAAAAAAGAAAATATCTAGGAATAAATTTAACCTAGGAGGTGAAAAACTTGTACACTGAAAACTATAAGTCACCGATGAAAGAAATTGAAGGAGACACCAAAAAATAGAAAGATATTCTGTGCTCATGGATTAGAAGAATTAATATTATTAAAATATCCATATTACCCACAGCAATCTATAGATTCAAGGCAATCCCTATCAAAATTCCAATGGCATTTTTACAGAAATAGAACAAATAATTCTAAAATTTGTGTGGAACCCCTAAGGCCCCAAATAACCAAAGCAATCTTGAGAAGGAACAAAGCTGGAGACATCACACTCCCTGATTTCAAACTATACTGCTATCATAATCAAAATAGTGTGGTACTGGCAAAAATCGACACATAGATCACCAGAATAGAACAGAGAGCCCAGAAATAAACTCACATGTATATGGTTAATCAATTTATGACAAAGGATCAAGAATATATAATAAGGAGGGGTGCCTGGGTGTTTCAGTCAGTTAGACATTTGCTTTCGGTTTGGGTCATGGTCCCAGGGTCCTGAGATCCAGCCCTGCATTGGGCTTCTTGCTCTGTGAGTCTACTTCTCCCTCTCCCTCTGCCTGCAGCTCCTCCTGCTTGTGCCCTCTCTTTCTGTCAAATAAATAAATGAAATCTTTAAAAAAAAAAAAGGGAAAAGCTGATAAATTGGACTTCATCAAAATAAAAACTTAAAAAAGGAATAGAAAATGAGGAAAGGACAGTCTCCTTAATAAATATTGTTGGAAAAAACTGGACAGCTACATGCAAAAGAATGAAGCTAGACCCCTATGTTACACGATACACAAAAATTAACTCAAATGGATTAAAGACCCAAGTATAGGACCTGAAACCATAAAACTCCTAGAAGAAAATATAGGCATTTAGCTCTTTGATGTTGGTCTTGGCAACAAATCTTTGGATTTGACTCCAAAATCAAAAGGCAACAAAAGTGGGGCACCTGGGTGGCTCAGTGGGTTAAGCCGCTGCCTTCGGCTCGGGTCGTGATCTCAGGGTCCTGGGATCGAGCCCCGCATCGGGCTCTCTGCTCAGCAGGGAGTCTGCTTCCCTTCCTCTCTCTCTGCCTGCCTCTCTGCCTACTTGTGATTTCTGTCTGTCAAATAAATAAATAAAATCTTTAAAAAAAAAAAAAAGGCAACAAAAGTAAAAATAAACAAATGGGACTATGTTAAGCTAAAATGCTCTATACAGCAAAGAAAACCATCAACAAGATGAAAAGGCAACCTACGGAATAGGAGAAAATATTTGAAAAATATTTTTCCAATAAGGGGTTAATATCCAAAATATATAAAGAACTTATGCAACTCAATAACAATAGCAAAAACAAACAAAAACAACAATAAAAACCCCAAAACCCAAACAAAAAAACCCAAAAATCCAAACAAAAAAACCCCCAAATAACCCAATTTAAAACTGGAGACAGCATCTGAATAGACCTTTTTCCAAAGAAGACATACATATGGCCAACAGGCACGTGAGCAGGCAGAGCTTCAACATCACTCATCATCAGGGAAATTCAAATCCAACCCACAATGAGATATCACATTTACACCTGTTAGAATGGTTATTATTTAAAAGATAAGAAGAGGTACGCGGTGGTGAGAATGTACAGAGAAAGCAACCCTTGTGCACTGTTGGTAGGAATGCAAACTGGTGCAGCCACAATGGAAAACACTATGAAGATTCATCAAAAAAATTAAAAATAGAGCTACCATACGAACCAGCAGTTCCACCCCAGGAACTTATCTGAAGGAAATGAAAACACTAATTTGAAAAGATATATGTAGCCTTATGTTCACTGCAGCTTTATTTACAATGGCCAAGATACAGAAACAACCTAAAGGCCCATTAGTGGATGAATGGATAAAGAAGACATAGTGTATATGCACAGCAGACTACTATCAGCCATTAAAAAAGAATGAAATCTTGCCATTTGCGACACTATGGGTGGACCTCAAGGGAATTATGCCCGGTGAAATAAATCAGACAGAAAGACCAATACCATATGATTCCACTTATACATGGAATTTAAAAAACTAAGCAATGGGCGCCTGGGTGGCTCAGTGGGTTAAGCCTCTGCCTTCAGCTCAGGTCATGGTCCCAGGGTCCTGGGATCAAGCCCCGCATTGGGGTCTCTGCTCAGCTGGGAGCCTGCTTCCCCCCACTTCCTCTGCCTGCCTCTCTGCCTACTTGTGATCTCTCTCTCTGTCAAATAAATGAATAAAATCTTTAAAAAAAATAAAATAAAAATAAGATAAAAAACCAAGCAAATGAACAAACAAAATAGTTATGAAGAACAAATGGTTGGTTGGCAGAGGGGAGGAAGGTTGAGGGGTGGGTGGAGTGGGTGAAGGGAGTCAAGGGGTACAAACTTCCAGTTATAAAATAAATAAATGGAGATGCAATGCACAATATGCCGACAAAGGTCAGTAATATTTTGTTGCATATTTGAAAGCTTTTAAAAGAGTAAATCTTGGGGCGCCTGGGTGGCTCAGTGGGTTAAGCCTCTGCCTTCGGCTCAGGTCATGATCTCAGGGTCCTGGGATTGAGCCCCGCATCAGGCTCTCTGCTCAGCAGGGAGCCTGCTTCTCCCTCTCTCTCTCTGCCTGCCTCTCTGCCTACTTGTGATCTCTGTCTGTCAAATAAATAAAGAAAAAAAAATCTTAAAAAAAAAAGAGTAAATCTTAAAATTCTTATGACAAGAACAATTTTTTTGTAATTTTGTACAGTGATGGATGGTAATTAGACTTATTGTGGTGATTATTTCACAGTGTATAGAAATCTTGAATCATTGAATCATTACATTGTACACCTAAAACGTATATAATGCCATATTTCAATTACTTGAAATGTTAAAGTCATTTTGTCAAATTATGTTGAATGTTAAAGTCAAAATGTCAAATTACTAATATAATGTAACATTATATTAGTTTCAGGTATACAACATAATATATAACATATAATATAATAACATATATTTTATTATAATACTATGTATAATATATATTATGTGTGTGTGGTATTTATAATATATGTCTATGACTTGAATTGGATTTTAATATCAGGTATATTAAAATTTTGTCAATAGTCAAAACACGGTTTATAACCTTGGATTATTTTATTTCATGTACCAACTTATTAAACCATGCAAAATAGCCATAAAAAAGATACAATTTGTGATAACATGAAAAATCAATTACTCATGAATAAATATAATAAAATATACATAAGATCTCTATATTAATAACTGTATATTACTGGGAGGAATTAAACAAAGCTTACATAATGGGAATATTTATGATGTTCATGGATTAGAAATCTGCATATTGTAATATATTGATTCTACCCAAATTTAGCTTTAGAGTCAACGAAGTTCCAATTTATTAAAAAATAGGATTTTGGGGGGATGGAAACTACAAGCTGATTCCAGAATATTTATACAAAAGGCCAAGAATAATCAAGACAATCCTGAAGAACAAAGCTGGAAAATCTATACTACCAGATATCATGACTTTTTATAAAGGTATAGTAATAAAAATGCTGTGACATCAGTGCAAGGATGGACAGACAAATTGTATCCGTCAGAGTCCAGTGAGGACACAGAAACAACACTAGAGATGATGTTGGCATGGATGACCAAAGCCAAGGTTTTACATTTGGTCAGTCCTGAATATCAGGTGCCTAGGAGGGCAAAGGCTCAACCTTTCCGGTCCCTGCTGTGTCCCCAGCACCACCTGCCCACGGTCTGGCTCGGAATGGACACAAGCAGTTCCTACTGAATGAACCTCTGGACAAGCCAGTGAAGAGACCCCTTCCTGGACAGACTGACCATGAACGCTTATGGGCTGGGAGACAGAGCCTGCGTTTCCTTTGGAAGGCGAACCCCTGCCCCGGGGGCATAGGAGACAGAGCCTAGGCGAGGATCAAAGGCAGGGCTGATGCCCTGGTCTGATCACCTGTAGATGGAGGCCAAGGGGCAGGTAAGCCACATGTTGTTGGTCAACTTGCCCAATGAGTAAATGTCAAAGATGAAGTATGGCTGGTTGGTTTCCTTGACATGGTCGCAGGGTGCAAGACAGGCTTCTACCTGTAGTTCGGTCCGCAGACGGCTGGAGCGGGTCTTCTCCCCTCTCAGGTAGAGCCAGCACGGCATGGCTTTTTCCTGGGGCTCCTCGATGTAGCAGTAGCCCAGCCGCTTCCGCTCCCCAGGCTCCCCACAGCGGTTACAGTCCTGCCAGGGCTCCCAGTGGGTAAAGACGAGCACACGACCACCCAGACTCAGGGTCTCGTTCTGCAGGGGCTTCTGGCCCAGGCCTCTGTGGGTGATGTGCAGGGTGCGGACATCTTGGAAGTCAATCTCGTACTCTACCACAAGGGCATTGTCACTGTCCTGGCAGTGATAGAGGCCTGTCTGGGACGGCTGAGGGTTGGTCAGTTGAAGGCTGCCCCCAGGAAGTTTCTTTATGTTTGGCACAGAGGAGAGCAGGAAAGGATCTTCCCCCCAAATGGAAGAGAAGTACCAGAGTGCCTTGGGGTAGTCACATTGCAGGACAACATCATTGCCCGAGACTAGGGCCTGCTGGCAGAGACTCTTATAGGAACATCTGATTAATATCTCTGCCCACAGAGTGGGGAGAGAAAGGCTAAGCAGCCACAGGGGGGCCAACATGGTAGCCTGCTACAAAAGGATGCTGGGAACCACCCTGGGCATTATGAAGTCACCCACAGAACTCAGGCTTCAGCCCTGAGTGGAATGAAACCTGGTCCTGCCTCACTTTCTGGAGACACAGAAATCACTGGTCTGTACCATTTCTAAAATCCACTGAGGAAATACAGCAAGGTCCTCCTGTCTCGTAACTGGGGAGGACTGCTTCATTAGCATAGCACCAGATCAGCTCATGGAGGTGGGATGGAGGTGTTTTCTAAGTCTTTGGTCCCTGTGCTCATGTCTCCTGTCTCCAGAGAGAGCTCTCTTTTTCCATTACTGACCTTGGCTGCATCTGAGGTGGCATTGAGAGAGGTGTCCTCCTTCCCTCATGAGCAGTGTTTTTGGCCTTCTCCCTGCCTTCCAAAGTTTGGGATCTAAGGATTCTTAAAAGCCTCCAGCCAACTCCATTGCAAAAACCCACATCCGCAGTTTGGCTCAAGATGTTCCCCATCGGGCACCTGGGTGACTCAGTTGGTTAAGCGACTGCCTTCGGCTCAGGTCGTGATCCTGGAGTCCCAGGATCAAGTCCCACATCAGGCCCTCTGCTCATTGGGGAGCCGGCTTCTCCCTCTGCCCCTCACCCCTTTCATGCTCTCGCTCTCTCTCTCAAATAAATAAAATCTTAAAAAAAAAAAAAGATGTTCCTCATCTCTCTCCCTCTCTCTTTCTCTGTCATTGCAGAAGCACTGGATCAGGCATCTGTGGAGAGCCATATTCTCCTTCTCTCTCTCACTCAGCCCTTTTGCCTACCTGGGAGTATCTTAATTCATTCAGAGATTTTAACAATGGTTAATGATGATTTAATTCGGGCTGCACCCTTGATTTTATCCTTGGCAGAATCTGAGTGCTAATTGGATTTTGTCTCTCAAAGGTCTTCCCAATTTTTGGCCAACTTTAGTGAATTTTCACTCTTATTCTGTATTCCAACTGTTTCCCTCAAAGCGGCAAGTTCATGACATATATTATTTTGCCTTTAAAAGTATCTCAGGCAACAGTCTCCATCCTGCTGCTTTCAAAGACATTTTCTTGTTCCCTTTGCTCTGTGTCAAAGCCAATGCCATGCAATTTTATTTTTGGTTACAGCAGCATGTCAGTCCTGACACTGATTTCTGTTTCACTCAAGATAGTCTATTTGCTTCTATAGCAAACTTACCCCAAATCTCGATGACTTGCAAAAACAAATGTTTATTTCTCACTCAAGCTCCTCGTCCACGGTGGGTTGGCATTATAATCACTCAGGGAACCAGGATAATGGAGCAAAGCCATCTCAAACATTTCTAGTTTCGTGCCAGAGGAGGAAGAAAGAGAAATCTGTAGGATTTCGTGTCTACCATTAAATGCTCTGGCCTTAAATGACAGTTGTCACTTGCTCACAAACCACTGGCCAGAAACAGTTACAGGGCACTACCACCAATCTAGCAACCCAACAAAGGAAACAGAATTCTACACGCCCAGGAAACCTTTGGCAAAAGGAAATCAGTAATGATTACTGCAGATGATGTTTACTATGAGGAGTGTTCTTTTACATCATAAACTTGAGATCATTTCCAAAATTATCCCATCAGATCTCCTAAAGTCTCATTGGCCAGGATTAGGTCCCGTGTACAGACCCACACCAATCTCCAAGAGAAAATAGAATTTCCATGATTGGTTTAACAATCAGATTGTGTCTCTAGGACTGGGGAGGTGTGACCTTCTCTGACTACAGAAATCACTGGAGACAAACAAAATCAGGGCTTTGTATATAGGAGAGATGTAGAAGAGAATGCTTGTTTGGTGAGAGTAATTCTACGTTATCTAGAAGCTGAGAAGAATGCGGTGAAGCTAAGACAGTAGTCACTCATGTGACCTGGGAGAGGAGAACGTTTGGTATTTTGTGGCTTGACCATGTTCTTGTCTTGTCTTTTCAGACATGATTATAGATCGATCTCATCTTTTCTTGGTTCACAATAGTCACAGAGAGGCTTTGTGTGATGTTGTTGTGCTGTGGAATTGTTTATGTTCTACAACATAATATGATCTAGATGTAAGTTCTAGGCTAGCTTCTAGGAACACTGACACTGTTATTAGTGTCGGGTCATCTCCCAGCTATCCGAGGCTGTTTTTTTCTCTTTCTCAGACATTTAAAGAACTGCAGTGAAGTCTCTTCCTGCAATGGAATCCTGATCAAATGGCTTTCTCTTTGGGAACTGGTTTCCTCATTTTCAAAATAGGGATTTTAATAGTACTGGCTCCAAAGGCACTTTTGAAGATTTGATGAGATTTTGTAAATAAAGTGATCACCCAGTGTTGTTATTGGGGAATGCATAAGAAGGACCTTGCCCTCCAGATATCGGGGTTCTATATTCTGGTTGCATATTACTACCTCTGATCACAGAAGTGCAGACACAGAAGCAGACCACCATTGGTTTGACCCTCATTGGCTGAAGCAGCTCCCAGGAGATTTAAAGGGACAGCCTCTGGGTTTTCTCCCGCTTTCCCCCCTTTTGGAAGCCAGACATTTAGGGATTAGGAGATTTGTAAGCAACCATACATAATGTAGGGGAACTTAGAAAGTCATTGCACGAGCCCAGGAAAAAATGCAAACTCAGAAGAGATCTGAGATGAACTCTAAGTTTGCACCTCAGGCAGATCCCCAGCATAGAGTTACCTTACAAAAACAAATACTGCTAGCAAGCCCTGGGGAGGGGAGGGGAAATATGATTTTCAGAGTTACCACATTATAAGATTCAAATGTCTGTTTTGGACAACAACAACAACAAAAAATCATAAAGTATAAAGAAACAGAAAAGCATGGCTCATTCAAAGGAAAAAATATCCTCAAGGAAGCCCAGGTGGTAGACATACCAGACAAAGACTTAAATAGTCTTAAAATGCTCAAGGAGCTTGAGAAGATATGGTGAGAGACAGGAAAATGATGCATGAACAGAATGAAAATATCACCAGAAATGTAGAAAATATAAAAAAGAACCAAACAGAAATTCCAGAGCTGAAAAATACAACTACTGAGATGAAAAATTCATTCAAGCAGTTCAGAACAAATGTGAGGAGACAGAAGACACAATCAGTGAACTTGAAGAAGGATAACTGAAATTATTGAGTCTGAGGAACAGCAGGGAAAGGAGACTGAAGAGTAAACAGAACTTAAGGGACCTATGGAAGATGATCCTGCAGACCACGTCCATATTGTTAGAGTCCCCGAAGAAGAGAGAGAGAGAGAGCTGTTACAAAATTACATTTGAATAAATATTGGCCAGAGACTTCCTAAATTTTATGAAAGACATAAATCTAAAAATCACAGAAGCTCACTGAACTTCAACAGAATTCACCTCAAAAGATCCACACAAATACATACTGTAATCAAACTGGTAAGCCAAAAAGAGACAAACTTGAAAGCAGGGAGAGAAGCTACTTGTTACATAAAGGGTTCCCCAGTAAGAGACTGGGCAGATTCCCCATCAGAAACCCTGGAGGCCAGAAGGTAACAGGTTGAAATTTTCAAAGTGCTCAAAGAAAAAAAAAATACAACCAGGAATTCTATAATTAGCAAAAGTGTCCTCCAACAATTAGAATTAAAACACACCCAGATAAGCAAAAGCTGAGAGTTAGTTTGTTGCCACTAGATCTGCCCTGAAAGAAATTGAAATGAAAGGGTGTTTTTTAAAAAAAATTATTTATTTATTTGACACAGAGAGAGAGAGAGAGAGAGAGATCACAAGTAGCAGAGAGACAGGCAGAGAGACAGGGGAGGAAGCAAGCTCCCTGCTGAGCAGAGAGACTGATGTGGGGCTCAATCCCAGGACCCTGAGATCATGACCTGAGCTGAAGGCAGAAGCTTAACCCACTGAGCCACTCAGGCACCCTGAAATGATGCTTAACAGTAACCATAAGCCATGGGAAGAAATAAAGATCTCCAGCAGAGGTAAATATATGGACAATTATAAAAGCTAGCATTTTATAATGCTAATTATAATAGTTATAATTATAATTCCACTTTTAATGATCTACATGACTTATAAGAAAATCCATAAAATAATTATTACTCTTTGCTATTGGGAAAACAGTACATAAAGTGTAGTTTGAGATACCAATAACGGAAAGGAGGTGATAGAGATGGACAGGAGCAGAGTTTTTATATGATATTGATATTAGGCTGGTATAAATTTAAACCAAAGTGTTATAACTCTAGGGGGTTTTATGTGTAATGCAATTCCCAGGATTACCACAAATAAGATTACCATAGAACACATACAATAGGAAATGAGAAGGAAATCAAACATTTTATTATAAAAACATTAGCTAAACACAAAAGAAGGTAGTCATGGGGTAAATGAGGAGCCAAAAAAAGCTATAAGGCATACAGAAAATAAACAGCAAAGTGGCAAATATAAGTCCTTCCTTATCAGTAATTTCTTTAAATCAAAAGACAGAGATTGGTAGAATAGATAAGGAAAACATGGTCCAACTATAGGTTGTCTACAAGAGACTCACTTTAGATTCAAAGACGCAAGTAAGTTGAAAGTGAAAGGATGGAAAAGGATATTCCATGCAAATAGTAACCAAAGAGAGTTGGAATGGCTATGCTAATATCAGACAAATAGACTTTCAACTGAAATCGGTTTCAAGAGACAAGGAAGGACAGTATTTATTTTTTTAAATTAATTGTTTATTTTTTATTAACATATAATGTATTATTAGCCCCAGGGGTACAGGTCTGTGAATTGCCAGGTTTGCACACTTCACAGCACTCACCATAGCATATACCCTCTCCAGTGTCCATAACTCAACCACCCTCTCCCTACCCGCCTCCTCCTGGCAGCCCTCAGTTTGTTTTGTGAGATTAAGAGTCTCTTATGGTTTGTCTCCCTCACAATCCCATCTTGTTTCATTTTTTCCTTCCCTACCCCACAAACCTCCCATGTTGCCTCTCAAATTCTTTGTATCAGGGAGATCATGTGATAATTGTCTTTCTCTGATTGACTTATTTTGCTTGGCATAATACCCTCTAGTTCCATCCACATCGTTGCAAAGGGCAAGATTTCATTTCTTTTGATGGCTGCATAGTATATATATATATATATATATATATATATATCTCACATCTTCTTTATCTATTCATCTGCTGATGGACATCTAGGTTCTTTCCATAGTTCGCCTATCATGGACACTGCTGCTATAAACATTTGGGTGCACATGCCCCTTCAGATCACTCCATTTGTATCTTTAGGGTAAATACCCAGTAGTATGATTGCTGGGTCATAGGGTAGCTCC